ATTCGACCTTTCTACTATTGTTAGAAGCTGCTGAAAAAGTGACGGACACACTCCATTTAGGGTTGATAAAAATTGATTTCGAAATTCGTTGACGATTTATTTTTCTTCGTAATAAAATATATTTAATAAAATTATAAAAATACTGATTTATATATATATTTTAAAATAACCTCTTACTCTAGCTGTAATAAAAATAAAAATGTGTTTTTTTCCCCTATAAATTTTGAGTTAATGTCACACGAAAGAAACACGGGATTTATTGGTGAAGCCCTCGCATTTTTGAACTATTATCAAGCGACATCCCCAGCTAGATTTTCACTCGTCACCACGGAAGAACACTCAAGTCTGTCTCCTTTTAAAGAGCTGCAACCCTCTCGTTGCTCCATTGTCGATATATTTAATGGAATAAAGACTCGAGTTGAAGTGACATTAACATCACGCTATAAACCAGCACGAAGGCTATTGGCGACCGACCTTGTCATTTTGAACCATGGTCAAGTGAGAGGACGACACCTGAGCTGGCACCCCCTCTCCTTACTTCCACACCGCATCAACGAGAGGACATTTGAGCCTCGACATATTTAACGTGCATCGGTCTCTTGTACACGGTGGTTCTTCAGCGGTGCCAGACTCGAACTCATGACATGCCAGCTATGAGTTCGTTACCTTGACCACTAGGCTACCACGGCCTCAAGAATAAAGAACATGTGTCTGAACTTAAACATTACCATGAGCTCTCCACAATGACCATCCAGCTACCATAGTTGTAATAATAATAGAAAGCAGTACAAAATATTACAACAAATTTTATGTCCATTGGTGTTGTTGCTAACGCCACCTGTCAGATCGAGGTTCACGAAATTCATCGTGGCAAAGGGCTAGATCAGGGGTCGGCAACCTTTCAGCTGTGGCGTGCCAAACCAACCTACCAACATTATTCAGCGTGCCAAGCAATAGCAAATATTTGAAACAATTTGATTCCCACTACAATACATGCTGAATTAGGAAAAATAGAGGCCAAAAATACAAATTTACTTATATGCTAATTATGCATCATTTAAAGATATTTATTGACATAAAAAACATAAAATACAACTATTACTTCAATACAAATACAAATATTAAAACTGTGCACATAAATATGTATTATTTTTAGAATTTTTAAGGAAAACTTAAAATATGACTGTTCTTCAATATAAATCAAAAATTAAAATTGTATATATATTATGCATTCTTAAAAATATTTATGAAACTAGAAATAAACAACATAAAGTATAAGTGTTCATGCAGCAAAGTTAAATAAAAAATTAAAATTTTAATGAGAACCTTGTCCCTGCAGATATCTACTTAATGTTACAATATCAGGGGTATAATTCGTTACTTTCAATTTGACACAGGATTCAGAATGTTCAGCAATTAAACAATTTCTTTTTGGACTCAAAATATATTTTGTATGAGAACAAATTTGTTCACATAGATATGTGGAACCAAAAGCGGAAAGCAGGGCACAGGCTATTTTTTTCAAACAATTAAATCTTTCTGGCAATCACATCCAGTAATTTAAAAAAGCTGTCGATATATTGCTGGAGTTATCTTCCAAATTTTTCCGTAACTCCATAAATTTTGTTTTCCATAATTCTGAAGATATTAATTCAATGAGTTCCATTTCAAAATTATCAGTTTCCATCCACTCAAAAATTGACAAATCGAATTGGATTATTAATGGGTCTATTAAACCAAGTTTGATTAGAAAAGAAAATATGGGCATACAAGCTTCAAAGTCTTTGCATCTTTTAGAAAACTCCTCCTTAAGTGCTTCAACGTAAATTTGAAGTTCATCTTTGTCTACGGTTGATGTATTTGCAAGCGCTTTAACGTTTGTAGGTACTAGTATTAATATCACGGGGAAATTTATTTAATTTTGTAGCAAAGCCCTTCCAATATTCAAAAAGTTCAAGTACTGTTTGACTTTTTCCTTGCAATCTTAAGTTCATTGAGATGTTTAGTTATATCAGTCAAAAAAATCAATTTACCTAACCATTTCTTGTCGTCTAATTCGGGAAAATGTTGTCCCTTATCATTAAGAAAATTTTTAATGTGCTCCATGCATGACACAAACTTATTCAATACATTACCACGACTAAGCCAACGGACATGACTGTACAAGGGAAGATCTCCATATATTCACTTTCCATTTCTTCTAAAAGAGATTGAAATTGTCTGTGTACTAATGAAGATCGAGACACTATAAAATTAACTATTTTAACAGCAGTATTTATTCATTACAGAAATTAAGCGATGAGACGAAATTTTGGCAACTAAACTTTCCTGATGTATTATGCAATGGAAGTTCAATATTTTATGTCCAATATGATTTTCAAGAAGTTTGACAAATCCTTTTTCCTTGCCAACCATTGCAGGAGCGCCATCAATAGTTACACAAAATATTTTATTTATATTAATATATTTTCTTTCGAAATGATTTATAAATGAAAAAAGAATATCCTGCCCTTTAGTTGTACCACAGACAAAGGAATCATACTGCATAATTCTTCATAAATTCGATTTTTATCACAATATCGTGCAATTACTGCAAGGCGTGCAACATCATTCCCGTCTTTACTTGCATCAAGAGCAATGCTAAATGCAACAGTTTCTTGTAAACCTGAATTTGTTTCGCAGTTACATTTTCTACCATTTATGTTATTCTTCTTTCAACAGTTCGCGCAGAAGCAGGTATTTCTTGAATTCGTGATAATATTGTTTGCAAGTTAGGTAAATCACTGAACAATATTTCAGCACTTTTTAAAAATGTGTCCTTTATATGTTCGCCATCTGTAAAAGGTTTTCCTTTGGCTGCTAAACAATGAATAATGACGAAACTACATTCTGTCGCTTTTGGTTTCACTCCAATTGTTTGACTGTGGCCACGGTAGCCGAGTGGTCTAGGCATCGGATCGTGGCTAGTATGTCATGAGTTCGATCCCAGTACCACTGAAGACCTGCCGTGTAGGGGCGCGATGCACGTTAAATCTGTTGAGAGCTCAAACGTCCTTCCGTTGGTGTGGTGTGGTAGTTAGGAGAGAGGGGTGCCAGCTCAGGTGTCGTCCGCGTCACTTGACCATGGTTCAAAATTACGTGGACCGTTCCCAATAGCCCTCGTGTAGCTGAACAGTGGGACGTTAATATTCACTCACTCACCAATTGTTTGACACAGAAATGTATAATTTCCTTTTTATATCCAGAAATAGCTCTTTCTAAAAAACTTCACATTTCTCATCAGAATTCTTAAATGTGGTCTGGTGTTTAGTTTGAAAATGTCTTTGTACACTTGACATACGACACTTTCGCGACATAGCACACATACAGCGCGATCTTTTTGTTGTATGAATCCAAATTCGTTAGTCCAAGAATCTTGAAAATCGCGAACATCAAGATTTCTTTTTTTAGTCGCCATTTGATTCAATATGTGACTATTAACTGGCACAATGATGAAACAAACTATATACAAATTTTCACAGTAAAACTAACAACGTGACAAAGTTAAAAGTGACCAAAAAATCACGTCGTGCATCAAACTAAATTTAATTTTCGACTGAATTCATTCTCGGTATTCGTATGTCGGCGTGACTAATAGAAAACATAAAAAATGTGTTCTAATATCTATTTCTATTAGCTTAATTCGCTCCAAAAGTAAAACATAAAATAATTATGACTTCCTTGGCACAACACTCAAAAAATTACATTTTCTCATTACATTCATTAAAATTACATATTTAGTTAAAAAGGACCTTTGTTATGAAATCTGATTCACTTGCCTAATTAACACACATCATTGTGTGTTTTCTTTTCACCGAATTTATTTCCAATCCAAGTTAAATATGTCGAGGGAATAACTATTTTTGTTTAATATATTTCCGATGGAAAGCGTGTGTTAAGCAGAATTTTGATTTATACCTAAGACATTTGTTTTTAGCGCGTTTTTCACGTAGTGTAAAAAAAAAAGCTATTAGGACGCAAATTTAGTTTTCGTCTTCGTTCTATATTTTGTCGTACCTTTTTCTCAGCCAATAATTAACCGATTGACCTCGGGGTTTCAGCATTTGGTCGCATTTGTGCCTTAGATGAGCCGAATCATATTTAAATTTAATAATTTAAAATTTTTTTAAATTTAAAATTAAATTTTTTTTTTTTTAAGTATAGTACACTACTTTCTGTTAGTAAAAAGTTCATTAGTTGCATTATTGTAAAATACAACATGTGAAAAACGCTCTAAAATTACTTGGTCATGCCAATGATTGATATCTTGTTTCTTTTTCCGTCGATGCCCAAACTTTTGGTGCGTAAAAGACAAACTACTTACTTTTTTATTTACAGAGCCGTAATGAATGATTCTCAATTTTGAAAGTATTACTCAATAATTTTTATTTGTGTTGAATGTTTAATGCTAATAGTAAGTCACATTTAAACAGAAGATGTTTTCTTTTACATAAAGCATACAAACTACAAGCAAGCTGATTCAGCAGAATCGTTTTATGGCAAAAAATCGAAAATGAAAAATAACCTTTGTATAAAAATGTGCGAGAGGATGAAAGGAAGGAGAGACAGAACGATTTAGCTTTCTATATAGTATATATCTTATAATTTTGTAGAGTGGTGGCATGCCACTGGAAATTGCTCCGTGTGCCAGATGTGGCATAGGTTGCCGACACCTGGGCTAGATGTATAGGTGTCGTTAACCGTGGTTTTGAACACCATGTTGGCTCATTTCCTCCTCAAATTTGAGGGAGAACACCCTAAAGTGGTCGTGAGGCCTCCCACTTCTCTTCCCCTTTCACCAAATTCACGAGAGGACTTGCGGCTGACGGCTATTTAGAGTACCCCCAAGCCGCAAGGGCATTATACCTTTACAAACATCCATCCCTTCTGGATTTGAAAGGCTTTATGGTACAGCAGTCAGCGTCACTAATCACTATACCGGATGGAGGGGAGTAAATGCCAACGGCACGCGGTGTTCCCAAGTGTTCACCCTCTCAAGTACTGACCACGGCCAATGCCGCTTAACTTCATTGATCAGACGAGAACAGCTGTTTTCAGCATGGTTTGGCTCAAATGCCTTGGGTTTATCTAACAATTGGAGGCAAAAAATATAAAAGTTTCTTAACTAAACATATCCATAAAGTGTCTGAACTATTCGATATATTTAAAAAAAAATTTGTGTGAAACAAATTTACTATCCGCAGAAGTGTTCATTTTAGTAAACTATTCAAACAATTCAATATATAGTTTTTTTCCCCTTTATTTCTATTAATAACTTTTTTCAGTTTTTTTAAAATTTGTAAATTACCTACTCGTTTCATTCTAAAATGTTTAATTGCTTCATACATTCGAGACCGTTAGAGAGAGTGAGAAAAAAAAAGTGTCTCCAGATACCCTTTCGAGAAGCTACTGTGTTCCGTTAGACCCTTGCCAGTGATGTATGTACATCCGTTCGCATCCATATCTGACATAATTATGTTCTACTTTTTCCTGGAAGAAGGACTTTCGAGAATGTCTTCTCGACTTAGAAGTGTCTGCTTATTTCCTATTTACGTCGTCTCGCGCCAAAACGGATGCCAGTTTTATTTGCATAAAATGTGTTTCTTTTTTTGCCAATGCTTCATCACTACTCTCGCTCTGTGTATTTCATTGAAAAACAAATGATTTCAGATTCCGGAAACTGGATGCAATTAATTCGACTTCTGTAGTCTTCGGTCGAAATAAATTCTTAAGTTCTGACCCGACCTCGTTTTGTCCATGTTTAGAAGAATTATATCTATAAATTTCGAGTCTCATTCCGTCAGATTAATGTCCGAATTAATTTGGATTTATTTCTGACACAACATTTAGCTTCTGATGAATGGCAATGCATCAATTGTAAGCTTTTCTATTTATAGATGGTTCGTGATATTTTAGGCTTAACATGAGAGTTCTTTGTAAAAGCTATTAAAAATATCGATATCAGTGTTCCTTTTTAAAAATGAATTCTAGAGATTAAAATTTTTCTTCTTGTTTCAAGAAATAAAACTTTTTTTTGAAAGAAAATTCTTTAGTTTCCTTTGTGTTATTAAAATATGCTGATATTTTATTTCTCATTATTTTGAGAATATATTATAATATTTATTTATCTCTCAAGAACAATATCTACAAAACAAGAATATTTTCTACAATTGGTTAATTTATTTTTTGAAATTTAATATACAATAAAATTTTTAGTAAAAAAAAGCAAGTATTTTATAAGAAAACTGTTTTTAGTTAATGATTATTACACATTTGAAATTTGATACAGATCATCAAATATGGTGTTTAATTCCACTAATTATAATTTTTTATTTATCTATTTTAAAATTCTAAAAAGAACTCTTTTGTGTGTGTTCGCCGTAAGTATTTTAAGAGTAAGTTGATATAATCATTAGGACAAAATACGATGCACTGATATTTAAAGGTTTTTTTTGCAAGGTATAAACAATTCTCACATGTATAAAATACATTACATATATAAAATACATTTCATTTTAATTTTGTACTTTAATTACAATTATCGTTTTTAGGAAATTAAAATAATTGCTAACTCAGTAAATCTTTCAGAAATTTCGATAAATATTTCTAATGAAAGCAATAATATAATTCTAGATAACTAGAATGATTTCATTAATTTACTATAAAAGGAAATGTAAAAGTAATAAATTAAGATTTCTCAATGTTTTATATAAAAGGCAGATTTGAATTTAAACCCCACATAAAATTTAAAGTTTTCCATTGTCTTTAATAACTGATAAAAAATGGAGCACGAAATTCAAATTTTCATCGTCTTTTATAAGTTGTTATATTTACGAATATTCGAAGCTTTTATTGATTATTTATTTCTTATGATATGAAATGAAATAATTATATAATTTCAATATTTTTTAAACGTTATTTACTAAACTTTCTAGTTGTATGACTATAATCGTGTGTAATCTATACCTTTGAGTTATGAATTTTTTTAATCAAGTGTTTGAATGTTTAAGAAATGCTTTTTCCGTATTGCATTGAAAGTTTAAAAAGGGATACAAAATATAATATTTTAATTGTTGGTTTTTTATTTTATTGTAAGAAAAAAAAAATTAGTTCCTTTTTTTAGCTAGAATATATTTATAAGATGTTTAACATCTGCATATCGGTCTGAAGATTATTTGGAAAATTGCTAGGTATTTTTCTGATGATGTGTGAATAATAACTTTTCGCACTATTCAGCTACTTCAGGGCTTTTGGCGACGGACCTCGTAATTTTGAACTATAGTCAAGTGACGAGGACGGCACCGGCATTCCCCTCTCCTAATTTCCACACCAACGGGGTTTTACCTTTTTTTTAAAAATGGTACGTTTTTAGTTGGCCTTTTCAAGGAGCATACGCACACATATATTTTAATTTTATAACACGTAGAACAAACAAAATTTATAAAAAAAACCCCATTTTGATTGAATAAAATGCCACAATCAATTCAACGTCATTAATAACAATAGTTCAAAATTGATAATTTTTCATTCATATCCTGTTTTTGTGTGTGTGTTAAAAGACGCAGTATCCTTTCAATGGTTCTTTAGTTTGATTCTATTCATTGTTATTCAAAAGAATACTTAAGTATTTCAAAGGCTTTGGTGATTTTTTTTTGCGTCAAATCCACAAATGTGTTTTCATTATATAATAAGAAAGCGTCATGCGCATGCTTTATTTTTTTTTTGGCTATTTATGTAAAAGTTTCATAGCTAAAAAATTATTAGGAGTGTGATTCTTTGTAATAAATAGCACTTTTAAATTTGTTTTCTCTATCTGTTCAATAATTTAATTCACAAAACCATGTGATAATTTTTACTTTTATGTTTGAATATAAGCAACAATAAAACGTAACATAACTTTAAATTGCTCCTAGTGATTTAAAACGTAAAAATACATATACAAGTAAACAACGGAAGTTTTTAATAGCTTTAAGTTATAATTATATTAACTGGAAACTGTACTGTTATGTGGAGATTTTGTCTCTATCGCTATTTATTTCTTTTGATTTTTTGCAGAAAATGAGAAGAAATAATTTTTTTTTGTTTTGAAATGAGTCATTTCGAAGAATATTTTCGGAAATTAAAGGGAAAAAAATGCCCTTAACCCATGTAGCGAATTCTACACAACCTTATTTACGGTCACTTCTGTTCGAGTGTTATTTTTTCTCTTCCCTTTTGTGAAGTTTTGTATATTTCTCTCATTGCATGGGGCATTGAAACTGGAATGGAATCTAAAAAATTAACTTCCTATGCATTTCCCCCTCTTTATTTAGAAGTGTTCTTGAAACTATTACAGGATTTTTATACTTAACGATTCGCAGAATTAGTGTCAGAATGAGATGAAATAATTATTGCTACACTTAACACTTCTAGAAAGATTTAGTCTTTGTCGGAATTTTCAATTTAATAAATTGAATTTATTTAAATACAAACAAGAGGTGCATTGTATTTTAAACCCTTTTTTGAAGCGGAACGATTTCCGGGTATTTATTATTCATACGAACTATTGGTGGGAGACTTCTTCCAAAACGAATGTTTTGATATTATTGGATTAGATATCCACTACAAAGAATGATTAAATTTTATATTATAATGAGGTTTTTCAATAGCTTTCCATATGCTTATAATATTAACCAATGTAAGCCAGAATTGGGCGTATTTTTGCGAGTTGAGATGTTTGATTTCATGATTTCTATACTCAATAAATTAACAATATGGCTGAAAGAAAAGGACATATTAAATTCAAACACTAATTGATTGACGCTGTAAAAGATTGACGTATCTGAAAATAGGACCTATATATAATATCAACGACCGGTGTATGCCACGATATATAAACACAAAGCCTTGGTAGCCTAGTGGTTATGGTCACTCCAAGGGGATATAAACTTGATATAATCAAGCAATCGGTGGTTCATTATCCATTATGTAGTCCCAGCAGCCTAGTGATCATGGTTACGAACTCGTGGCAGGCATTGTCAAGTCGCGGGTTCGTAACCTTATGCCATTGAAGACCCGCTCTGTAGAAGGGCTGATGTATGTTGAAACTATTGTGGCTCAAAGTTCTGACGCTGGCGGAGTGTAGAAAGAAGAGTGGGATGCAATCACAGAAAGGTATCGTCCTCGTCAATTGACAGTGGTTCAAAATAACGAGGTTCGTCGCCAATAGTTATCGTGTTGTTTTAGAGAGAGAGAGAGAGAGAGAATTTTATTAATGTCGCACTAAAAAGCAACTCGAGAGCCATTGGCGACGGACCTCAGAATTTTGAGCATCGGCCAGGTAACGAGAACGACATCTTAGCTGGCACCCTTCTCCTAACTACAACACCACATCAATGGGAGGACATTGAGCCTCTACAGATATAACGTGCCGCGGCCCTTTCTACACGGTGGGTTTTCAACGGCACCAGGATTCGGACCCACGACACGCCGGTCACGAGTTTAATGTTGTTTCAGAGTGAGTGAATATTAACGTCGCACTGTTCAGCTATACACGAGGGCTTTTGGCGACGGCCCTCGTCATTTTGAGTCATTGTCAAGTGACGAGGATGACACCTGAGCTGGCATTCTTCTCCTAACTACCACACCAGAATAACGGGAGGACGTTTGAGCTCTCGACAGGCATCACTTCCCAATACGGCTGGTCTTTAGTGGTACTGGGCTCGAACTCATGACACGCTAGCCATGATCCGATACCTTGACCACTTGGCTACCGAAGCCACCATGTTGTTTCAGAAAGGGACGTTGATAAACATTCACTTAGCTTCAATTGATAACTCAAATGAATAGAATTATCACAACTAATTTTTGAAAGTGCTTTTAACTATTGAAAAATTAAATTGATGTTAGCCTTTAAGACTATATCTCTGATAAAGCTTTAATTAGAGAAATCAGCTTGAATCATTACACAAATAAATGGTTTTAAAGTGTTGAAAACACGAAGCGATTTCATTGTGTTTCTTCCTAACCTTGGCGAAATATCTAAAAACAAACCCACTTCCAAAAAAAAAAAAAGACTCAGCAACACGTT